CACAAAGAAAATAATCTATAAGTCTTAAAGGAAGCCAGTTTCAGTGGAGTACATCTGTGAGCCCTGCTATTTGGGAGGCTGAGGCAAGAGGATGGAAAATTCAAGGCCAGTCTGGGCAGCTTAATGAGACCCTAAATCGCAAAATGGGCTGGGCTTGGGCCGGAGATATAGCTCAGTGCCCAAGTGCCTGCCTGGCAGGTGCGAGGTCCTGAGTTTGATTCCTTGTACAAAAAACAGGAGGACTGGGCTTGTAGTTTAGCGGTGGAGGGTTGTCTAATGTGTGGGGCAGTACTGAATAAATGAAAACAAAACAGGTACCTCTGGTATCAGTTGGTTTCTCCATGTTCCCCAGGCATGAACATATTTTCTTACACAACCCACTAGATATTTCCATTAGATCTACAATCTACTGTGCCTTTTTAAATCTTTTAAAAAATCTTTATCACTATACAGTTCAGGCTGGTCTTGAACTCACTTTGTAGCCCAGGCTGGCTTCATAACGATCCTCCTGCCTCAGCCTCCTGAGTGCTGGAGTTACAGGAATGCACCACCACACCTAGTTCTTACTTATGTTTTGTTCCAGTTGTTAATTTTTCACAAGAAGGTACAAGTAATTGTCCTAAAAACACTTTGAAGAACACACCCCCCTCACTGTGCCACACTGTCACCTGCACCCTGAATCAAATACCAGCTGCAGTTCCTTTTGGGGTCCCAGTTCCACTCCATATTCTATGTGTCTAATCTTGATATAAATGCTGGTGTCTTGGTCATGGTCATTTTACAAGACACATTATGCCAGGCAAAGCAAAGCTCCTCACTTTGTTTTCCTTTTAGAGTTTTGGAAATTTTCTGGCCATGTTCTCATTATTGTTTCTACCTTTATTCTCATACTACAAATATTTGTATGGCAGACTCCGTACCGCAGCCTCCATATTTGCATACTTCTCAGGGTCAATTAGGATCGCCGATGGATCAAGCAGGCCCTAAACGTCAATGCCTTAGGACTAAATAAGCTTATACCTTGTGCTCATGCTCATTGAGAGCTGCAATAATTCTGCTCATTATAGTCTTTTGGGGGATCTGGACCAAGAGCACAACCACTGTATTGAACATTGTCAGCCACTGTACCAGAGATGGAGCACCTTAGAGGGTCTGGGACAAACTGTCTGCCCTTACAGCTCACTGGCTAGACCTAGTCATTTGGTTCCACCAAACCACAAGTTGGTCAGAAAGCATCATCCTGCCTTGTAGAAGGTCGAGGGGGGGATATGAGTGATGAGCAGCACTGACTACCATGCTGTTTACCTTTTTTTCACTTGCAATTTCCACCATTTTATCTGTTTATTCTGGATATTTTCTTCTGACTTGTCTTCTAGTGCACTAATTCTCTCTTTAGCTGTATCTAGCTATTTGTCACATAATATGTATACTTTGTTTTCAATTTTGACTTTTTTTTTTTCCTCTGGGTGGAACTGGGGATTGAACTCAGGCCCTTGCGCTTGCCAGGGAAGCGCTTGTTCTACTGAGCCATCTCCCCAGCCCCAATTTTGACTATTTTAACGCTAAGAAATTTCCTTTGCTATATATACTCTATGTGCAGTATATGTATGTACGATCTTCCTACTCTGTGCCAAAATTCTCAAACTTGTTTCCCATCTCCTTGAACATAGTAACTTTTAAGATTTAAAAATCTGTAGCTGACAACTAAGTAGATCTGTTTCTGCCATCTGTAGTCCTGTAGGTTTCATTTATTCTGCCTTGTGTCCTGAGCCTCTCTATTGTGTCCTATGTTCTATCTGTACAGATAATTTGAAGCCCAGCAAGACAGTACCTTTCTTGATTCAGTCTGGAGTTACTCTACCATTTTTAGGGTTTGAGAGGTGTGAGAACGAGCCCAAGTGTCTGTAAGAGCCTAATTCTGGATTTCCCTTTACTCCGAAGTTATGTATTTATTAATAGTCTATCAGGGGGATGGGGCCTGGGAGATGGCTCAGTAGGATAAGCACTTGACCGGCAAACGCAAGGATCTGAGTTCAATCCCTGGTTCCGCCAAAAAAACAAAAAAGTCTATCATTCATCCACCTACTTATTCATCCATGCATTTTTCTATATACTGATTTATCAAAGAACCTGTCAATATGTGCGTCTTTCCTGCTTCTTGCTACCTATCCGTTCATACATAAGTACAGTCGGGCTCTTTTTTCAGCCTTCTGGGAAGATGGTGGATATTCAGACAGAGCGCGCCTACCAGAGCAGCCAAACAAGAAGAGGGTCCTTCTGGGAGAAACTGGCAAAGAGAAGCTCCCTCGCTACTACAAGAACATCGGTCTGGGCTTCAAGACTCCCAAAGAGGCCATGGAGGGCACCTACATGGATAAGAAACGCCCCTGTACTGGTTCCGTCTCCATCCAGGGGCGTATCCTGTCTGGCGTGGTGACCAAGATGAAGATGCAGAGGGCCGTTGTCATCCACTGAGATTATCTCCACTACATCCGCAAACACAATCGCTTTGAGAAGCGCCACAAGAACATGTCGGTGCACCTGTCCCCCTGCTTCAGGGACGTCCAGATCGGCGACATTGTCCCAGTGGGCTCGGGTAGGCTCCTGAGCAAGACAGTATGCTTCAACGTGCTTAAGGTCACCAAGGCCGCCGGCACCAAGAAGCAGTTCCAGAAGTTCTAACTTCACCTGGCCACCCTCCAAAGGGAATAAAGTTATTCTGACTCTTGAAACAAAAAAAAAAAGTACAGTTGGGTTTAATACCGCACATTGTCATTCTTCACTGCCCAGCCCTTAAACTGACGGATGGATGTCTGTGTGAGGAGCTGTTCTTGGTGCTGGGAGCACTTCCTCGAACCAGATGAAGTCCCTTCTGTCACAGAGTGCACAATATATTTGGATCATCCATGCACAGTATGGTCAGTGCTATGGAATATATGAAAAGTGGAACAGGGAAAAGGTTTTAGACCAATGATGGTGAACCTTTCAGCGCTTCCAGTTGGTAACAAATAGCTGTTCAGACTCTTAGATCAGGGGCTGTGATTAGAAGCTTTTGTTTGTTTTGGCTTTTTGAGCCAGGGTCTTGCTACATTTTGCAGGTTGGCCTTGAACTCACTATGGAGTCCAGGAGGGCCTTGAATTTGGGGCAATCCTCCTGCTGCAGCCTGCCCAGTGCTAGGATCACAGGCATGTACTGTACTACCAAACCTGGCTTGTGATTGGAATTTAAGAAAGATACCTAGGATGGGCCTGCCTCCCTAGAAGGTGACCTACAAAGAGAGATTTGGGGGTGACACAGGGATGCAGATGCCTGAGCTGCTCCCACAGAGGGTGGTAGTGGAAGGTGTTCTTGTGGCTGCAGAGGAATGAGGGGTGAGCCCATGGGGCATTGCAGGGCTTGGGGGCTGGGCAAGGGATGGGGGAGGAACCTGCTGAGTTTTATTCAGGCAGCCCTGGGACAAGTTTGCAGTCAGGGGGGTCACTGTACCTCAGAGTTGCTCAGCAGCAAGTGACAAGTCAGAGAGCTCTGAAAGGCATCTGTGGCCCAGGGGACCAAGAGGCCCCAGAGCTGATCTTACCAATGGGTGTAATTCTGTAGAGCATGCAAAGCAGGCCATTGCATGGCTTTCTTGTGCACTCACTCTGGCAGTTCTGAGCTGGATGTGTAAATCCGCAAGTTTGGCCATGGAGTGGGCTTTGAGCCGAAAACTTAGCCCATTGATCAGGGCTGTCTTTAACCATCTGTGTAGGGGAGCCAGAGAGGAGACCAGTCCATGGGTCGGCATGTCCCCAGCAGTGCTGTGGATGGTCCCGTCTCCCTTCTCAGTCCCTGGGTCAGCCTGGCTTCTGGAACGGTGCGCTGGGACCCTCTGTGCTCCTCAGCCCTCGCCTCTGCCTTCTCACTGCTTTCCCTCTGCTCTACTGTGAAATCCTGGACCTGCCCATTTTCACGTGCCCCAAGGCCTCCCTTCTGTCTGTGCTTGTACCACCGCTCCCTGCAGGAAGTTTCATGCCTACCCCACTCCATCTCTGTCCTTCCTAACAAGAACTTGCAGTGAGCCTGCCAGGCTTTTGCCATCCACTCACCATGTGACTGCTTGGCTGCTCCTGTGGA